GGCCCCACCCCCCCCCCACCAAAAAAAAAAAAAAAAACAATTAACAAAAAAAGTTGTATGTGTGAGGCCCTGAGCTTGAAACCTAGTATGGCAAAAAATTTACATAAAATAATAAAATGCATGTAACATATATACCTCCATCTTAAGAGTTTGGGATAGATTGACATTTCTGAAATTCACCTATAAAAATCTTGGCAGCCTATCACTCATGGTTCAGGTCTATAATCCCAGCTAGTTTACTCCTGTAATCCTATCTACCTATACTGGAGGCTAAGATCTAAGGACTTTAGTTCCAAGCCAACTGTGGTAGACAAATTGGAGAGTCTTTTCCCCAGTTAAACAGCAAAAACTGGAAGTGGAAATGTGGCTCAAGTAGTAGAATACCAGTCTTGAATGAAAACACTAAGGGAGAACTCAAGGCCCTGAGTTCACTGGGGTATGCGCACACGCGTGCGTACACACACACACACACACTTTGCTGTGGGGCTGGGAAGGTGGCTCAGTGGTGGAGCACTTGCCTTGCATGCCTGAGGCCCTGGGTTCAGTTCCTCAGCACCACATAGGCAAAAAAAAAAAAAGCCAGAAGTGGCACTGTGGCTCAAGCAGTAGAGCACTAGCCTTGAGCTAAAGAGCTGAGGGACAGTGCCTAGGCCCAGAGTTCAGGCCCCACAACCGGACTGTGCTTTTGTATCGTAGTACTCTCCCTTTTTGCAGGGGACTTGATTATTATGGTGAAATCTTTCAGACAAATTCTCTGACCAGCACTTGAATTCTCCAAACTTTTCCTGTGTGTGAATGCATCTGTTTTTCTAAATTGAGCTTTTGTTAAACTGGATAGAGATAAAGAAGACAACTGGAGTTATGTTTTTTTTTCTGTAGAATTTATTAAGCAATATTTTTGACTAATGAATTCTAGGAATATTTATTTTATACCTATCATGCTAGCATTGTGGAATATAAAGGTGATTACTCTTAACTTTGACCATCAGTTAATTTTGTTTCACTTTGTTCTTAAAGATTGTGCCATTTCAGTTGTAATCACTTCCTATGCTGGGTGTGTCTTCTTTGTGTCTACACTCCTGGGAGATTATTTTCTTTTCTTGGGCCTTTCTCTTCCTTATTGAAAGTACTTACTGAAAATAATGCACTCTAATTTAAGAGTGACTAATCTGTTAGAAGTAAGAATCAGAATATTCATCTTCTCTTTTAGGGTTCTAACTTAAATTCTAGGTGTCTGCTTCCTGAATGTTTAGAGCAGGTACCTGGTATTTGATTAGCAAATTGCTACTGTAAGGTTAATTGGACAGTTTGGTACATGAGAAAACTAAGATACAGATTAAGTTTCTAAGATCTTAGAAATAGAAGTGGTATGGCATTGTTCTGTTGTGTGTGTATGGGGGGGGGGGGTAAGGTTGGTATGTGTGGGTATGTATTTTCTTTACATTTACCTTAACCTCTTAAGCAAGATTTGGCAGTTGGTTTTATGCTTTGTGTCACAATCTTAAATTCCTGTTTGTAAGATTACTATTTTGAATATCTAAAATGTCCTTAATGTCTAAAATACCTTATCTTTACCCTCTCCTCCCTCATCCTCCCAAATAGTCACATAGTTATAATATGCATCTCCATAGGTTTAGCTTCCCCGTATGAACAAAAACATACAATATTTGACTTTTTTTTTTTTTTTTTTTTTTTGGTTCAGTCGTGGGGCCTGAACTCTGGGCCTGGATGCTGTCCCTCAGCTCTTCAGCTCAAGGCTAGTGCTCTACCCCTTGAGCCACAGTGCCACTTCCGGCTTTTTTCTTTTTGCTTATGTGGTGCTAAGGAATCGAACCTAGGGCCTCATGCATGCAAAGCAAGCGTTCTACTACTGAGCCACCTTCCCAGCCCCCAATATTTGACTTTTTGAGCTTGGCTTACCTCACTCAACTTGATGTTCTCTAATTCCATCTTTTTTTCTGCACAGAACATGATTATCATTTTTTCTCATGGCTATGTAATACTCCATGGAACATGTGTGCCATGTCTTTTTTTTTTGTCAGTCCTGGGGCTTGAACTCAGGGCCTAGGTGCTGTCCCTGAGCTTCTTTTGCTCAGGGCTAGCACTGTACTCCTTAAGCCACATCGCCACGTCCAGCTCTTTCTGTTTATGTGGTCCTAAGGAATCAAACCCAAGGCTTCATGCATGCTAGGCAAGCACTCTACTCACACATCTTTTTTTTTTTTTCCAGTGTTTAAGTAGTTGTACAAAGGAGTTCCCTTTTAACAAAACAGTTATGAATGCATTGCATCTTTTTTTGGGGGGAGAGGGGTCTGGTCGTGGGGCCTGAATTCTGGGCTTGGGCGCTGTCCAGCTCTTCAGCTCAAGGCTAGTGCTCTACCACTTGAACCACAGCGCCACTTCCCGCTTTTTTTCTTTTTGCTTATGTGGTGCTGAGGAATCAAACCCAGCCCGAATGCATTGCATCTTGATCAGTGTCATTCCTTTCATTGCCATTCTGACTTGAGTAAAATGCAATCTTAGTGTAGTTTTTATTTGCATTTCCATTATGGTTAGAGATGTTGGACATTTTTTCATCTCTATTAGCCATTTGTATTTCTTTCTCTGGGAACTGTCCTGTTCAATTCACTTGTCTACTTATTAATTGAATTATTTGTTCTTTTGCTGTTTGTTTGTCTTGGTATATTTGGGTATTAATCCTTTGTTGAATAACTGGCAAAGATTTCCTTCTATTCCATAGGTTGTCCTTGGTAATTATTTCTTTAGTTGTACAAAACCTTTTACAGTTGATGGAGTCCTATGTTTGCTCTTGTTTTCTTGGGTAACTGGAGTTCTTTTAAAAAAATAATTAACCTGTGCCAATAACTTCCTGAGTTTTTCCTTATTAAAGTTTCCAGTCTTACTTTGAGTTCTTTGATCATTTGGAGTTGATTTTTATACTAAGTAGGAAATAGGGGTCATTTCATTCTCCTACAAGTGGATAACAAATTGTCCCCACAGGGTTTGTTGAAGAGGCTTTCTTCTCTAAAGCTTTTATTTGTAGCTTCATTGTTGACAATTATATAGTTTTAGCAGTGTGGTTTTATTCCAGGTATTTCATTCATTTGGTCTGTTTTTATGTCATCATGCTTGAGTTATTTTTGATATGGGGTCTCATTTTTACCTGGGCCTTCCTGGGCCTTAATCCTCTTATTTATGCTTCCCACTTAGCTAGGATGACAAAACCATCATGCTTAGCTGTTTTGTTGAGATGCAGGTCACACCTTTTCCCTTCAGCTAGTCTCAAGCTGCATTCCTTCATGCAATAGGATTATAGGTATGAACCATCATGCCCAGCTTCCATGTTCTTGTGTAAACAGATTTTGGGCATGGGGTGATCATCCACTATAATTTTGGAAAAGATATTGGGTAAATGACCACCTGAACTAATAGTTGTTAATTTTTAATTTTATTTTTTTGGTGCCAGACCTGGCGCTTGAACTCATCCTGGGCCCAGTCCCTGAACTTTTTTTGCCTAAGGCTAGTACTCTATCACTTGAGCCACAGTTCTGTCTGGCTTTTTAGTTGTTTATTGGAGCTAAGATTCTCAAAGAGTTTCCTACCTGGGCTAGCTTCGAACTTCAGTCCTCAGATTTCACCTCCTGAGTAGCTAGGTTGACAGGTGTGAGCCACCTGTGCCTTGCCTAAATGGTTGATTTTTTTTTTTTTTTTTTTTTTAACTACTACTAAACTTTGGAAGGTGAAATCGTTGGCATGGAAGTATTTGTGTTACTACTTAGTGTTTGGAGGAATGGGTGGAAACTGTCATTATTTTGATCATTGTTAATTTGTGGCCTCCCTGAGAATATTTTTGGAGGTGAGTTGGTGAGTCCATGTGATTGACTGTCAGGGCAATGTATGAAATGTATGAGTGTTTTCATCTAGACAGCTTTGTAAAACGGAAAAATCATGGTAGAGTGAGGCAGGCTTCCACCCACTACAGCACCAGCTGAGTTATCTTGACTTTGAGTGAGTCACTGTATTTCTTTAAATCTCAAGTTTGTAACTGTAAAATAGGGATAATTATCTACTTCAGTGGGTTGTTGCAAACATTAAATGGATATCCCAAGCAAGAGCTTGGCACATAGTCTGTATTTCCCCCTTCCTTTCCTACAGTTATAGAACCTTATGAATTACTATTCTTTGATACCTCTCCCTTTTTAAAAATTTTTTTTTGGGGGGGTCCGGTCGTGGGGCCTGACCTCGGCCTGGGCACTGTTCCTTAGCTCTTTAGCTCAAGGTTAGTGCTCTACCACTTGAACCGCAGTGCCACTTCCAGCTTTTCTTTTGCTTATGTGGTGCTGAGGAATTGAACCCAGGGCCTCATGCGTGTAAGGCAAGCACTCTACCACTGAGCCACCTTCCCAGCCTCTCTCTCTTCCTTTTTTTACTTTCAGGTAAAAGACCAGAATTCAAACTTGGTAGCTGTGGCTGCTTTCTCTTATTGGGTAGCACTTTACCAACTGAATTACGCTTCCAATCCCTCTCCTCCTTTTGAGAATTTACAGAAGTATCATTCCTTATAGCATAGAAATTCCTTTCACTGTGTGCATATGAGCAGCTTTCTCAGGTGTGTTTTCATGGCTTGCTTTAGATGCTTTTTTTTTTTTTTTTTGAGTCCGGTTGTGGGGCCTGAACTCTGGGCCTGGGCGCTGTCCCTCAGCTCTACAGCTCAAGGCTAGCGCTCTATCACTTGAGCCACAGCGCCACTTCCAGCTTTTTTCTTTTTGCTTATGTGGTGCTGAGGAATCGAACCCAGGGCCTCATGCATGCAAGGCAAGCGCTCTACCACTGAGCTACCTTCCCAGCCCCTTGCTTTAGATTCTTGTCTTCCCCATTTCTGCTTCACTGCTGTGCAATCATAATGACAACTATGCATCATAATGGCAAGTAGTATTTTAGTAATCTGGCTAAATCAAGTTCTGCCATACAGAACCAATTTAAAAAAATACATTTTATGTGTGCACTTCTGCAGCACATATACTACAATTGGAGCACTACAGACATTAAGCATGGCCCCTGGACAAGGATGACATGTAAATTCGTAAGTGTTGTACTGGTAAACCAAATCCAAGAATACACGATTGGTAACCCCCCCCCCAAAAAAAAAAAAAGATAATTTCAACCATTTGATATTTGCTGTTTTCTTTTTTCTTTTGTTGGTCATGGGGCTTGAACTCTAGGCCTGTGTGCTATCCATTTCTGGTTTTCTGGTGGTTAATTGGAGATAAAACTATCTCTTTCTATTTCTTTGTAGCTTCTTTTTTTTTTTTTTTTTTTTTTTGGGTCCGGTCATGGGGCCTGAACTCTGGGCCTGGGTGCTGTCCCTCAGCTCTTCAGCTCAAAGCTAGCACTCTACCACTTGAGCCACAGTGCCACTTCTGGCTTTTTTTTTTTTTTTTCCTGCTTATGTGGTGCTGAGAAATCAAATCCAGGGCCTCATTCATGCAAGGCAAGCGCTCTACCACTGAGTCACCTTCCCATCCCATAGATGGGATTTTGTTAAGACCTACAAGATAAACCCTAAGATCTTTGTGATTCAGCTTTAGTTTATCTGTGTAGTTTCATTCTGTCACTAACCATACCAACTTGAAGTTCCCCTTGGAGGTGGAGTCATTTTTTTCAAGTTCCAATGGCTTCAGAGGAGATCGTTTATTAACTTCTCAGAGATCTTTTTATAGTATACTTGGCAAAATCTTGGGTTTTAGCCATTATCACATGTAGTTACACTTCTCTTTTTTTTTTGCGGGGGGGGGGGGGGGGGGGTCCGGTCGTGGGGCCTGAACTCTGGGCCTGGGCACTGTCCCTCAGCTCTTCAGCTCAAGGCTAGCGCTCTACCACTTGAGACACAGTGCCACTTCTGGCTTTTTTCTTTTTGCTTATGTGGTGCTGAGGAATCAAACCCAGGGCCTCATGCATGCAAGGCAAGTGCTCTACCACTGAGCCACCTTCCCAGCCCTGCACTCCTCTTTACATTTAAATTCTCCAATAAACTATGAGCTCCTTGAAGGCTAGCGTCATGTTCTTGCAGCGCGCGCGCACCGCGTGCGTGCGTGCGTGTGTGTGTGTGCGCGTGCGCGCGCATGCTCCAATCATAGGGCTTGAACTCGGGGTCTGGGAACTGTCCCTGAGCTTTTTTGCCTAGGCTGACACTATCACTTCATACCCCAGCTCTACTTCTAGCTTTTTGGTGTTTTGGTTTTGATTTTGTTTTTGGTTTTTGTCAATCATGGGGTTTTTGAGTGGTTAAGTAAGAGGCTCACAGGGACTCTTCTGCCCCTGTTGGCTTCAAACTGTGATCCTCAGATCTCAGCCTCCTGAGTAGCTAGGATTGTAGACGTGAGCCACCAGCTTCCACTTCCAGTTTTTAGGTGGTTAATTGGAGACTTTGAAATGCAATCCTCAAATCTCAACTTCCTGAGTAGCTAGGAATTACCGGGATATGCCACTAGCACCTGACTGTTCTTTCATTTCTGTGACATTATACTTAGGATTATTGTTACATATATGTTAAACAGTTAAGTTGCATGAATGCAGAGCTATTTGAAATAATGGTGATCAGATAGCAAGAAAAATACCATTATATTTTAGAAATCTCTTAGGCTTTTCCTATCAATAAGGAAGGTAAAATCAAATATTGAAGAAAAAAATTGTTCACAATATAGATGGGGGTGGAGCATGGCTAAGAAAAAGTACTTAAGGGCTGGGAAGGTGGCTCAGTGGTAGAGCACTTGCCTTGCATGCATGAGGCCCTGGGTTCGATTCCTCAGCACCACATGAGCAAAAAGAAAAAAGCTGGAAGTGGCGCTGTGGCTCAAGTGGTAGAGCGCTAGCCTTGAGCTGAAGAGCTGAGGGACAGCACCCAGGCCCAGAGTTCAGGCCCCAGGACTGGACCCAAAAAAAAAGAAAAAAGAAAAAGTACTTAACCTATTCTCTTGATGTGTATATTCTTTTTAAAATTTTTTTTTTTCATTGTTTTTGCAATGCTGGGACTGAACCCAGGGCCTCAAACATGCTAGGCAAATCTTCTACCACTGCTCTATACCCCTAGATTTTCTTGTATATTTTATTTTATTATTTCTGTGTGTGTGTGCTGGACCTGGAGCTTGAACTCAGTGCTTCCTGAGCTTTTTGCTGAAGGCTAGCACTGTATCGCTTAAGCCACAACTCCACTTCTGGCTTTTTTGGTGGTTAACTGGACACAGACTTCCCTGCTTGGGCTGGCTTGGAATCATACTCAGAATCTCAGGCTCCTGAGTAGCTAGGATTACAGACATGAGCCACCAGTGCTCATCTTGTATTTTTTAAATAACTTGTTCATAAAGCAAAATGTTTTTTTTAAGTTAAGAATGTAAATAATGTGCTGTCTTTAATGAAAGTAAAGTTTGCTAATGAATAAAAAGTGATTATGTTTTCTCTCAGCCTAAGTATAGTTATGATGAGGAACATTATTTTGTGTGAAACATTGTTTAATGTATATTTCTCTTTTCTTAGGCATCTTTCTTAACAAAGAAGTTAAATATTGGTGGGAAAAGAGTTAACCTTGCTATATGGGTAAGTTTAACTTTTTTAGGGGTATTCTAATAGCTAATTGGCTCAAGAAATAGAAAGTTGAATTTCTACATTTTTAGGAAATTAGGGCTAGACAAAAGTTGTTTTTTTTTTTTTTTTGGTCGGTTGTGGGACTTCAACTCTGGACTTGGGCGCTATCCCTCAGCTCTTCAGCTCAAGGCGAGCGCTCTACCACTTGAGCCACAACGCCACTTTCGGTTTTCTAGTGGTTTATTGGAGATGAGTCTCAGGGACTTTCCTGCGTGGGCTGGCTTTGAACCATGATCCTCAGATTTCAGCCTCCTGAGTAGCTAGGATTACAGGCGTGAGCCACCAGCACCTGGCAAAAGAATTTTTATATAAAAATACCTACAATCTTGTTAATAATTACACTTTGAATACAATTTTATATTTGAATGTTGCTATCAAAACTTTCAGCCATAAAAGCATCAACTCATGGATTCTACTTCAGAGAGAAGTGGGATAGCTAGCCTATACCTTTTCCCCCTTTAGGTACCATGTTAGTCTCATAGGGCAAGGGTAATACAATAGTATACCTGTTAGCAAGTGGTCCTAATACAATGTCATACTATGTTCGTTCTTCCTGTGTGGGGAACTTGAATTTAGGGCAGGTTATATTTCTGGTTTATAATTCAGTGTTGGTCATTTTGACTCTATGGCAACTGAACATTTTTTTCTAATTTATGCCTTTATTCAAAGGGATGGGAGGTTGCTGAGGAGGAAAGCTGAAAGGGGAATTGTAACCTTTGTATAACAGTAAAACCTGATATAATGCTTATAATGACTTAAAGGGTTTTTTTTTTTTTGGTAACTTATTTTGTTTCTTTTAATACTGTTTTGAAGTTATCTGTGACTTTATGCTTTGCTTTTGCATTTAATCAAAAGTTGTATTGTTTCTATTCAGGAGGCTGAGATATGAGGATCATGGTACAAAGCTATACTGAGCAGGAAAGTCTACGAGACTATTTCAGAAAGAGCTGAAATTGGAACTGTGGTAGAGCACTAGCCTTTAGCAGAAAAGCTAAGGGACAACACTCTGGCACACAAGAAAAATTTATTGTATTTATAGTAACAGACATTTTTTCCTTTCTGACCTAATAAATGTTTGTTGCTTTATTTAGGATACAGCAGGTCAAGAGAGATTCCATGCATTGGGTCCAATTTACTACAGAGATTCAAATGGAGCTATTTTAGTTTATGATATAACAGATGAAGATTCTTTTCAGAAGGTATTCTGTTTTCTGGGTGGGGGGGTTGGTGGTGGTATTAGCTTAAGCAGAACACTTTTTTCAAGTGTTTAGAAGTTTTTAAAAACTTCTGAAGTTTTTTAAAGTATACAGTATAAAGTATAAGTGGTGACTAACTTGTTTTTATTGGAATATTTAATTTGTATTAATCCATATTGTGGTAATTAATAATTTAATACACATCTTTCTCAAATATTAGGAACAGGAAGTAATTGAAGTTCCGCTTCAGAAAAATACACTATCTTTGTTTTTCCCTCTTTAATAAAAAACACGCATGCATACATATTGAGCACCTGGAAACTTGGTGTCACTGCAAAAATCACGTTTAAGTGATTTAAAAGGAAACTCTAGGGCTGTTGTTTGAGCTATTTTTTAAAATAATTTCCCAACTTTTTCCATAAAGAGAAACAGCTTAAGTATTTTATTGATCAAGATAACCAATTTTTTTTTGGGGGGGGGTCCAGTTGTGGGGCCTGAACTCTGGGCCTGGGCGCTGTCCCTCAGCTCTTCAGCTCAAGGCTAGCGCTCTACCACTTGAGCCACAGTACCACTTCCGGCTTTTTTTTTTCTTTTTGCTTATGTGGTGCTGAGGAATCGAACCCAGGGCCTCAGGCATGCAAGGCAAGCGCTCTACCACTGAGCCACCTTCCCAGCCCAAGATAACCAAATTTTTTAGGTTGAAAATACTATACCCCAAAACATTGGTGTTTTGAAAGAATGATTTATTTCTTATGATTCTGTGGCTTAACCAGACAGGTCTTTTTCACTGTTTGTTACCACATGGAATACTTAAGAGCTGCATTGAACTACGGACGTGACTGGGACTGGAATGTCCAAAAAGGACTGGTTCTCCACCATATAGCCTCTCATTCTACCTCGTACTTATAACTCTAGCCTAAGCTTTTTTTAAATTTATTTTTTATTTTTTTGCTGGTCATGGGGCTTGAACTCTAGGCCTGGGCGCTGTCCCTCAGCTCTTCAGCTCAGGGGTGGTGCTCTACCACTTGAGCCACAGTACTACTTCCAGCTGATTCTGCTTATGTCATGCTGAGAATTCAAACCCAGGGCCTCATGCATGCAAGGCAAGCACTCTACCACTGAGCCACCTTCCCAGCCCTAGCTTAAGCTTTTTATATCACAGTTGGATTTTTTATTTATTTATTTATTTATTTTGGTCCAGTCGTGCGGCCTGAACTCTGGTCCTGGGCACTGTTCCTCAGCTCATCAGCTCAAGGCTAGCACTCTACCACTTGAGCCACAGCGCCACTTCCGGCTTTTTTCTTTTTTCTTATGTGGTGCTGAGGAATCGAACCCAGGGTCTCATGCATGCAAGGCAAGCGCTCTACCACTGAGCCACCTTCCCAGCCCCCCACAGTTGGATTTTTATAAAGCTGCTAGAACTTCTTTAGGGCTAAATCTGGAGTGGCCACAATATTTCATTTGCCCCATTTTCATGAGTACAGTAAGTTACAAGACTTGTCAAAATTCAAAGGTTGGGAATTTGATTGCTACTTGATAGGAAGAGAAGAATCTGTGATTGACTAGCCACAAAACGTATGGGAACATTGGGATGCCTATAGAGGAAAACTTTATTAGAGATGAATAGTAACTGTTTTTAATTAATTAATTTTTTTTAGAAAATTGGATTAGTAGATGGTTGAACTATACATACAGGGAGTAGAATAATATAGGTGGATTCTGCTGTATTTCTTTGGAGTTGATATACATTTTATATATTACTGTCTTTTGTTACTTATATGAAACCAGCTAAAGTAAATGCTTTGAAAACTTTATAAATATATGTGACTGAAACAGAAATCTATCCTGAGAAAATTATGGTTCAGTTCATTACCAAGATACAGTGAGCATAGTAATTACTTTTGCTTTTATAAAGATTTTGGGTTTACTAAGGACAGTTCCTCAGCAATCTTGCAGAGAATAGAAGTATGGAACTGTTACATTTGTACCATAGTACCAGATGCACAGTAAGTGCTTACCATGTACCTAATTTTTCTGATTTATAGATATGTGTGACTTTTCCTAAGGAAGGTGTATAAGTCTGTGAGATTTGATTTCAAACAAATTAAATTTCATTACAAGACAGGAAGGCAGGTATCCTAGTGTGTTTTTTGTCTTACGATCTTACTATAATTATTGTGTATTATAATATTTAAAAGCATGAATGATATTCAAAAAGTGAATTTGTTTAATTCCTCTGTGTCTACTGTGTCTGCTTTCAGCTGTGTCCACTGCTGTGCTTCATTCATAGTGGAATCAGTTTTTCTGAGCTGTCCAGTACTGGTGTTCTCTAACACAGGTTGCTAGTGTCTAGAGACATTTTGAGTGTCATCAGTGTCATCACTGGAGAATGCTGTTGGCTTATAGTTGTGTAGGATACTTCTGCTGGTGGGCTAAGGATGTTGCTAACCCATCACTACTATACAACACTCACCCCACAACAAAGAACTATCTTGGCCAAAGTGTCAGTAGTGCGAAGATGGAAAATTTTTGTAATATACTAAATGATGAAATTTTATTGTGCAGCATTTTTTTGGTGCCCATACACATTTTTTGGGGGGGGGGCCTCTATATATGAAATTCTTAGGTGCTTTGTTTAGGAACCAATTTGTGTATTAAAGCCCATGACTTCCTAAGTCCAAGTGACCCTAGTTACAAACATTTATTATCAGAGGCTGAACTTTGGATTGACATGCTTTTATTGTGGCTTAGCTTTTTTGAAGCTACGAAAAATTTATAAAAATTTGTAATTAAGGTGTATCTGTATATATTCATAGATACAGAGAAATATCTTTCCATTGTATGAAATTTACTTGGTTTGTAATACAAACTCACAATAAATGATTGGTAGTGTGTTATTCCAAGTAATAATTAAACACAGGTTGTTAGATAAAATTCTAAGGTATTTTGACAGTGTTGAATTTTTAGGTTTTGTAATAGTAATTCCAACAATATTTATTTTCTACTTTTTTGTACACACAGGTAAAAAACTGGGTCAAAGAATTACGAAAAATGTTGGGAAATGAAATCTGTTTATGTATAGTTGGTAAGTATCAGTAATTTTTAAGATGTCTTGTATTTCTTTAATGTTTTATTAAGTACATAGCAAACAAGTAATTCTTGTTTAAAAGTAATACAAAAGTGGAAGAATTAATGTCTTTAATACTAATATTTCAAATAATTGAGGATTTGAAGGTCATTTTCTGTATTCCAGACTTGTAGGAATTCCTTTAAGGAATACTGAGAAACTTTTAAATCCATTAAGCTCCAGGTTCACTAGCCTTGCTTCAGTTCAGCCTTTACTTTTTCACCATAAGATTGCTTTTAGAAAAAGAGTTTAGGAACTACTTTAAAACAAAACTAAAGCCAAAGACCTAAGTCAGTGTTCTTGTTCTATACATTTGATTATATACGTTGAAAAAATATTTCATTATCTTCAAGTAGTTGTACAAAGGGGGTTAGTTCAACTCATTATACCAATTATGGTGTACAATGAATCTTGAGAAATGTAACTCCTTCCATCATTTTCCCAACCATGCATACCCTAAAGTTACCTGGCATCACCCCACAACATTTCATATTTGTATATTCATTCATTCATTATTAATATATTTGTATATTTTGTATCTGTATATTAAATGTTAAGACTCCACTTACCTACCATCTCTCCATTCATCTGCCCCTGCCCCCCTTGGTTTCACCTTCTTCCCCTGACAACACATTTCAGCTTCCTAGTATTTTATTGTTAAACTGTGAGTTAGTTGTTTGAAGCAGTTATACCATTACAATCTCCCTTGCATATACCAAGCTTTAGTTAATATGTTTATGTACATGTGTATGATCTGTATATGTTTTTATGCATTATAATTTAAGTTTGACTTCCACACACAAGAGAAAACATGTGCCCTTTGTGTCGCTGAACATAATTTTTGTTAGGTCCATTCATTTCTCTGCAAATGATACAATTTTATTTTTCCTGATGGATGAATAGAATTCCATTTTGTATGTGTGTGTGTTTCTGTATAAAATTTTTTGATCCATTCATCTATTGTAGAGCATCTGATCTGTTTCCATATCTTGGCTGTGGTGAACACTAGGGCATTGAATATGGTTTGTGCAAGTGTCCTTACCATATCCTGACTTGTTATCTTTTGGGTGAATGCCCAGGAATGCTATTTCTGGATCATAGGGTAGTTAGTTCTATGTTTAGTTTTTTGAGGAATCTCTAAACTCCTTGTAGTGATGACACTAATTTACATTTCTAACAGCTCACTATGCATTTTTGTATCAAGGACAAATTTTAACTTCAAATATACCAATAGGTCAGGATCCTAAGGTAATAAAATATTGCTAATAGGAAAAAAAAAACTTCTAGAACTCAGTTTTAAATGTGTAGAATTTTTCTTAGGTATCCTTTTTTTCTCTAGATTGTTTATGTAATTTACTGATATCTGAGCAACTAAATGTACTAGAGTTTATATTGTATACTCAGCAGACATTATTTCATGAAATCCTGATGATACTGGAAGGGTTACATATATATAGAAAGAAACTGAGTCTTGGACATATATAATTTTTTGCCCAATGTTAGGCAGTCACAGATGGATTTGAACTGAAGTCTTCCAATTTCTGTGCTTATGGTCTTACTTCTTGTGATGTATAGCCTCAGTCTGTTTTCTCTCTTTATTCTTGTGTGTCTATAATTGCAAGAGTGAGCATGAGAAACTAGGATAGTTGTAGTGGAGGATCAAGATGGTATTAGGGGAAATGAGAGAATGGAGTGTTCAGAGTTAGGGAAATTTTGCATGTAGCCATATATAATTTTTATTTCTTGAATCCTGACACATTAGATGGGTAAACTTTACAATCTCATACTAGTGTACAAATCTGGAAAAAGAGACTATAGAGTTGATTTGTCCTAGTTTTTGGTCTAGATTCTTGATCTAGATTCTTAGGTTAGATAGCAGGAATAAGGGGGTAATAGAATAGACCACATAGTTCCATGTCAGAACTGGAGCTAGTCATTAGTGTGGTTTGCATGGCTTTGTATAGTATTAAATATTTACCAAGAGTCAAAGTAGCCACAGTAATCTGAACATTTAGTTTTGAAATTCTGTCATTTTTCTATAGAGAGAAATTACTAACTTGTACATAATACTTTGTCTTGTATATAGTTTATCTGACTTGGGGAAAGGAAGAAGAATCACAGAAACAGTGGGACAAAGGGTGAACATTGCAACAGTGATATTCACTAGACACTATGTTAGAAATGAACTTTACAACTTGGAGCGGAGGGAGCCAGGAAGAAGGTGGAGGAAAAATGAGGGAGGGGGTATCACTGCTCAAAAAGAAATGTATTCATGCCGGGCCCTGGTGGCTCACACCTGTAATCCTAGCTACTCAGGAGGCTGAGATCTGAGGATTGCTGTTCATAGCCAGCTGGATAGGAAAGACCATGAGACTCTTTATCTCTAGTAAACTATCAGAAGACCGAAAGTGGGTTGTGGCTCAAGTGGTAGAGCACTTGAGCTGAAGAGTTGACAGTTAAAAAACATTAACTGGGGGCTGGGAAGGTGGCTCAGTGGTAAAGTGCTTGCCTTGCATGCATGAGGCCCTGGGTTCGATTCCTCAGCACCACATAAGCAAAAAGAACAAAGCTGGAAGTGGTGCTGTGGCTCAAGTGATAGAGCGCTAGCCTTGAGCTGAAGAGCTGAGGGACAGTGCCCAGGCCCAGAGTTCAGGCACCATGATTGGCAAAAACAAAAAACAACAACAACAAAAAAAACATTAACTGGTTTAAATAAGCATGTGAATATTTCACTTGTATATTTTATATGTTTTATATGATAAGATAGCTTAAGAATAATGGGTCTGTTTTAAGATTATTATGTTTGTGGGTTTTTTTCAGTTCATGTTTTTAAAATCTTAATATTTCAAATTGTTAAAAAATATTGGGTTTAGTAGCCTACTGAATTAAGTAGGATTAAATAATCCTACTTTAATGTTACATAAAGTTTATTAATGATGAGCATCAAGTATAAAAAGTCTTCCTTCTATTAGCAAGTATGACATGGGGATTTTAGTTTGAATTTAGAGTTGTAACAGTTTTGAGAGATCATTTATCATTGATCCTGAACTTGCATTGCATATAATTTCATATCATTAAGATAACATGAAGAACTTAAAATAATTTTAAAAAGGAGTGAAGACATTTTTTTCCCATATAATAATAAAAATGACTTACTCCTTTTCACTAGACCTTCTTTCTTTCCACAAATTTTCCTCCTTAGTACTGGAATTTGAACTTGGGTCTTTGTGCTTATTTAAACAAGTCCTCTACTACTTGTACTAATCTCAAGGGTTTTTCATATGTCAAGTAAGCACTCTGCCACTGAACTATATATCCTTAATCTCTTCCATATTCTTTATTTAAATATGTACTTTTAATGAAGATACATTTTTTGTTTTGTTTCTACTGTTCTTTCCTTCCATAGCCTATTCGTTTTTCTGAGTTTAATAACAGTATCTTTTCTTTCGTGGTTTCTTTAGTTGGTTGTCTTTGTTTTAGACTACTAGCAAGCCCCCCTGCCCCCACTCCGTGTAGCTGCAATTACACAGACCTGAAGCAGAGCGGTACTTTCAGAGCCTTATTTATTTTATTTTTGAAAGAATCCAAAAGCCAAGCCAGACATTAGTGGCTCAATCCCATCTATTCAGGAAGTTGAGATCTAGAGGATAGCAATTCTGTGTAGCCGAGGCAGAAAGTACAAAAGACTCCCATCTTCAAAAATAACCAGCAAAAAGCCAGTCTGGAGACATGGCCCAAGTGGTAGATTACAAGCCAAACAAGCCAGCCAAACTAGCATGAGGCCCCAAGTTCAAAGTACTGCTTGTAAAAAAAGGAAAAGAAAAAGACTAAGAAACTAAAACAGGCTTTTAGCTTTAGAAAGCTGTCAGGAAATAGCAGACCAGTTTTCTGTGATATAGTCTATACTAGCAACCATTGTGAGTAGTGACTGTTCAAAGAAGTAATAACTATGACACTTTTAGTGGTAGATTTTAAGAAGACTTACATTTAAACTAACAAGTCGATTTTTAAGTTGTTATCTTAACTATGTAATTATTTATTAATTTATTAAAATTAGTCAAGCTTGTCATATGATAAAGCAATGTATAAATATGTCCTATTTTTAGTAGGCTGTTTTGATATTTGTTGATGGTTCTGGTTAAATGTAGAAAAGGAGGCATTAAAGATCTATAAAAAAATTCACAGGAGTTTAGTTAATTTCTATCTGTTCTATTTTACTTTAGAGGCAGAATGTTGTACTAGTTTAGCAGAGCCACTTGCCACCAGATGGTGCTGAGTCTCTGGACTTGTACTTCCTTATTCTAAACAGTTCATTGTGTCCTTTAATGAAGTTTATCTACAATTACGTTCTAAACTCTAAGGTCCATGGAAGAAATGATCTTAATTGTGAGAGGTTTTTTTTTAACATTTCACCTAAAAGTCAATAATGAGATATAAAAAATTTATTGGATGTGTCTTTGCTTATGTTATTTTTGCCTATACCTGTCTTGTTTTAGTTACCTTTAACACTATGTGTACCAGCTACCTCACCTTCTCTCTGGTATTCAATAAAGAATCTGTGTTTGGAAAGGTCTTCAGATGTTCTGATGGCTATTAAGCTTAATGTTTCCTTGGTTCTATTGCCTAAGAAGAAATAAATTTCTTTTCTGTAATTTTACATCTATATGACATATACATTCATTTCTACACCAAGTTATTAAAATTGTTTCTTAAACCATCCAGTTTTTCTTACTCTAATATGAAGTACTTAAGCCATACAACTTAATTTTTACATTAACCATCTTATCCAGAAAGCAATAATACTCTTAGGATCCAAGAGATTAGCCTAACATATTTTAATAAACCATAAATTAGCCATATTTATGGTTTACTTGACTGGTTTTGTTGTTGTTGTTGTTTTTTGGGTCCGGTAGTGGGGCCTGAATTCTGGGCCTGGGCGCTGTCCCTCAGCTCTTCAGCTCAAGGCTAGTGCTCTACCACTTGAGCCACAGCACCACTTCCGGCTTTTTTAAAATTTTTGCTTATGTGGTGCTGAGGAATCGAACCCAGGGCCTCATGCGTACAAGGCAAGCGCTCTACCACTGAGCCACCTTCCCAGCCCCTTGACTGGTTTTAAGTTAATTGGGGGATATAGAAATTTTTTTTCTTTTAACTAGTTATACTTTACTAAGATCATAGTTTATCTAGATTCCCAAGGGAATCCTAATCCTTAGTACATCAATGAATAGTGCCTAAGTCTTTAGAAAAAGTGGTTTCTTAGAAAGCCTGAAACTTCAGAGGGGTTATACATTGACCCATGTGCAGGAGGATAGGACATTCATTGTGACAGTCAGAAACAGTACTCACATCTTGGAGGTTAACTTTAGAGCTTTTAAGAAGACTTTCGAATGGATGTTTGTATTATTAGAAAATTAAAATGGCAATTAAATATTTTGAGTTGGCTTAGTTTAATTATTTTAAAAAAGCATCAGTACTAAGATCAGCATTTACTTTTTTCCAATTAGGTAATAAAATAGATTTGGAAAAAGAGAGACATGTTTCCATTCAAGAAGCAGAATCGTAAGTGTTATACTCTCCTCAATCCTTTATTTTCTAGTAGCAGTCTTCTTGTTTGTACTGTGTGGTTTACCATTTAAATATTCTTCAAACCCCTTAAAGTGGATTGAACTGTTAGAGATTCAGTGAAGCATGTTTACATGAGTAATTTCTGGAGTTTGGGCAATATTTAAGGATACTTCACTTTCACATCCTTTTTTTATTTCAACAAAAAATACAAGAATGATGTAAATTTTAAAAAATACAAGAAAAAACATGAAAAATACAAGAAAACTCATGATCAAATGTCAGTGAATCATAAAAGTCTGAGTTCCAGATTACTGTAGAAAAATTTCAGGTCCTATTTGTGTTATTTAAAACTACATTCAGTGTATAGAGAGGTGGGTGAATTAGTAAGTTATTAAAGGTAAATGAATAAGTCACTAAAATCCCTGCTACTGAAAACTTAAAGTGTTTTACATTGATCACTGATTTTTTTTTTTTTAAGATATGCAGAGTCTGTGGGAGCAAAACATTATCATACTTCAGCCAAACAAAACAAAGGAATTGAGGAGCTCTTTCTTGACCTTTGTAAACGTAAGTATATTCAGATTTGGTATGTTTTAAAATGGCTTGTTTCAGGCTGGGAAGGTGGCTCAGTGGTAGAGTGCTTGCCTTGCTTCTCAAGGCCCTGGGTTCAATTCCTCAGCACCACATAAGCAAAAAGAAAAAAGCCGGAAGTGGCGCTGTGGCTCAAGTAGTAGAGCACTAGCCTTGAGCTGAAGAGCTGAGGGACAGCACCCAGGCCCAGAGTTCAGGCCCCATGACCAGACCCAAAAAAATACAAAATAAAAAAATAATAAAATGGCTTGTTTCAAAAAAGTATTTGTAATGTTACCAATTTCTATTAATGGACATATTGATAATTTGTGAGATTTTCATTCAATATTCTTAACTCATTTTTAAAAGTATAGCCCTGCTATAAACAGGAACTAGTGGTTAAGAAATCACATATATAATATGTGATAACTATGTAGGATATATGCATAATTACTAAAAGCAGAAACAGAATTAAGGGAATAAAGCATTATTTAAGAGCTATAACACTCTGTTGTGGTGGGCAGACCTTTTTTTTTTTTTTTTTTTTTTTGCCAATTCTGGGGCTTGAACTCAGGGCTTGGGCACTGTCCCTGAGCTTCAAGACTAGCATTCTACCACTTAAGCCACAGGGCCACTTCTGGCTTTTTCTGAGGAATTGAACCCAAGGCTTCATGCATGCTAGGCAAGCACTCTACCACTAAGCCACATTCCCAGCCCAAAGACCTTTTTTTAGATTGTCATTGACAAACTAGTGAAACAACTATGAATATGAACACACTGGACATAAGTTTCTTTATATAAACATAAAAGACATTTCTTTTATCACCAGTAGAATGCATATCATATTAAGGAAAACCCTAGTCTGTGAAATAATAGATTAATGACTTTGTCATATTATATTCCTTGACTTTATGGACCTCAGACTGTGGAATTTGATGCAACTGTAGAGTATTTTTTTTCTCTAGAGAAAAATAAATATTCACATAGACTTTGTTTTTTGGGTGTTTTTTTGGTTTTTGTTTTTTGGGTTTTTTTGGGGTCTGGTCATGGGGCCTGAACTCTGGGCCTGGCACTGTCCCTCAGCTCTTCAGCTCAAGGCTAGCGTTCTACCACTTGAGCCACAGCGCCACTTCCGGTTTTTTTCTTTTTGCTTATGTGGTGCTGAGGAATCAAACCCAGGGCCTCTGGCATGCAAGGCATGCACTCTACCACTGAGCCACCTTCCCAACCCTCACATAGACTTTGGAGTACATTTTTGTTTTACAAAATCCTGAAGTCACTCATAATTAATAGTGATTATCTAAGTCCCCTAATCAACAGTATCAACATCACTTAGAAATGTGTTAGAAATGCCAGTTCTTGAGCCCTGACCTAAACCTATTGCATCAAAATATCTGGAGATAATAAGCAAAATCTGTGTTGGAACAAACCTTTTGTATATTTCTGATGCACAATAAAATGTGAGAACCATATGAGTGCTGTACATAACCACTTGAAGTTCTTGTTAAGATGCATCTTTTGTGGTAGTATATCTGTTGTGTCTTGAGGTTGCCATTTCTACAAGCACTCAACTGTGGTAACAGTCTTCAGGCCATACTATGAGTAGATGATAATGAACCAGTGGTTTACCAGTGTAATAACACTTTTTCCTGGTGCCAAACTCTGTACCAAAAGGTTGACTGAAAGAAAAAAAGCTGTGGCTCAAAATAGTAAAGTGCTAGCTTTGAGCGCAACAGTTTAGAAACAATGCTCAGTCTTTGAGGTCAATCCCCAGGACCTCCCCTTCTCCCCTCAAAAAAAAAAAAAAAAAGAGGGGCTGGGAAGGGGGCTCGGTGGTAGAGCCGCTCGCCTTGCATGCATGAGGCCCTGGGTTCGATTCCTCAGCACCACATAAGAAAAAAGCCGGAAGTGGCGCTGTGGCTCAAGTGGTAGAGCTCTAGCCTTGAGCTGAGGGACAGCACCCAGAGTTCAGGCCCCACAACCGGACCAAAAAAAAAAAAAGGCTTATTCTGCACCCTTGCTCAGCTGGTGTTTTAACCACTTGAGCTATACTTCCAGACCTTAATTCATATATTTAATTCTTCCCCCTTATGTCCATTTAAAAACCATGTAGCATACAAGTGCTAATATATTTTATGCCTAACCTAACCAGGCACCGATGGTTCACTCCTGTAATCCTATTAGCTACTCAAGAGGCTGAGGATTGTGGTTCGAAGCCAGCCCAGGCAGAGAAGTCTGTGAGACCCAGTGGCTCTGTGGCTCATGTGGTAGAGTGTTAGCCTAAAGCACAAAGGCTCAGGGACAGTGTCCAGGCCCTGAATTCAAGCCCTAGGACTGGCAAAAAAAATAAATTAAAGCCGGGCGCTGGTGGCTCACGCCTATAATCCTAGCTACTCAGGAGGCTGAGATCTGAGGGTTGCGGTTCAAAGCCAGCCGGGGCAGGAAAGACCGTGAGACTCCTATCTCCAATAAACCACCAGAAAACCGGAAGTGGTGCTGTAGCTCAAATGGTAGAGTGCTCGGCTTGAGCTGAAGAGCTGAGGGACAGCACCCAGGCCCAGAGTTCAAGCCCCATGACCGACAAAAAAAAAAAAAATAATTAATTAATTAAAAAATATATATATGCCCTAGACACAGTAATTTTGAAAAGTTAAAATAATAATTAGAAATAGAATTTATAATACTTTGTTATTCTGTCATTAGATTATCCTACATAAATTCTTCATTAATTGACTTTATTAACATTCCTTTTGCTTTAAGACTCCATATTTTCTTCCCTTGTCTTATTTTGCAAATATGTTTGTTCTATCAATCTGTGTCTTGAATTTTCATTTTTTCTTAACTGTGTCTCTCAAAGAGTAGTTTTTTTGGGGGGGAGTAATTATGTCTTTATTATCTTTAAGCAGCTGTACAAAGTGGTTATCATTCAACATGAAAGAACAGAAGTTTTAAATTTAAAATCTGATTTATTGGTTTTTCTTTTACAATTTGTGGGTTTTGTCTGTTATGAAAAGCCTTTGTCTAAGCCAAAATCTCAAGATGTTTCTTGTACAAAAGTTTGTATATCATGTCTTCCAGAAATTTTGTTTTATGTTAATATTCAAGTGTATAATTAATTTTTATTGGCTTTTCTATAGTTTTTTGGTTTGTTTTTTGTTTTTTGGTCGGTCGTGGGGGCTGAACTCTGGGTCTGGGCCCTGTCCCTTAGCTCTTCAGCTCAAGGCTAGTGCCCTACCACTTGAGCCACAGTGACACTTTCAGTTTTCTCTGCTTATGTGGTGCTAAGGAATCGAACCCAGGGCCTCATGCATTCGAGGCAAGCACTCTACCACTGAGCCAACTTCCCAGTCCCCTTTTATGTAGTTTGTAGATATCAGTAGAGTTTATATTTTGCATATAAATGTCCTGTTCTGATAATGTTGTATTTGTTCAAAGCTAAAAATATTTGTTTTCCTCTATTGCTGGCTATTATTACCACCAGGTATTATGCTTGCTGCTTGCAACTAGTTTGTTTTTTTTTTTTTGGTCGGTCATGGGCCTTGAACTCTAGGCTTGGGCACTGTACCTCAGCTCTTCAGCTCAAAGCTAGAGCTCTACCACTTGAGCCACAGCGCCTCTTCCGGTTTTCTGAGTGGTTCATTGGAGACAAGAGTTTCTCAGACTGTCCTGCCCACGCTGCCTTTGAATTGCAATCTTCAGATTTCAGCCTCCCGAGTAGCTAGTATTACAGGCATGAGCCACTGGTGCCTGGCATAGTTTTAAAAACTTATAGGTAAAGCAATTTCAATGAGTTGAGATAGCATTCATTATATTCAACTTTTTTTTTTTATCAAAAGTCAGAAATAGCAATCATAGTGGTATCCTAAAATTATAGAAAGAGAAAACTCAAAAGATTGTAATTACTAATAATTTGTTCTTTCTCTCTCCCAGGAATGATAGAGACAGCCCAAGTGGATGAGAGGGCAAAAGGCAATGGCTCTAGTCAACCAGGAGCTGCCAGGCGAGGTGTACAGATTATTGATGATGAACCTCAAGCCCAGAGCAGTGGAGGAGGGTGCTGTTCTTCTGGATAACTGTTCATGCCTAAGAAATTTAAAAACAAAACTGTGGATCATTGCCCTCAACATGAAGACTGCCATATTCCAAGTCACATTATTTTACCAATGGAGTTATAGAATTAACAGTATTTTAAATTACGTTTATAACACTGCAGAGACCTTAAGTGCTAAACTTAGTGGAGTTTGTGACCAGAGAATTGGCATTTTCTACAAATGTTAACAAAGCAATTACCAATGGCCTTTTTACATTTTTTCTTTAATGAGGAATAATATGCATGTAGAAAAGACATACTTAAAGGCTTCATTTATATTCTTTTAAATCAAATCTTTATTTAATAACTTATATATGTTGTTGGTATGGTATACATTTTTTGCAGTTCTTCGTATTTTGTGGTAGTTTGAATTGTATCACTCCTAAACTGCAAATTTTTTTTTTTTGATTAGCAGATACCTGAAGTACTATTTTTGCAGGGTTTGCACAGACCCCTAACTGTCTACTACTTTGATATAATCTATATCCATCCTGTATGCTGAGCTGGTTGTAAATTACATATTAAATATTTTATCTGCTTTTACCAACCGCAAGGTGCAAAAGTATATATGGTAGTTTCATTGATGACTGTAAAGTGGATTAACATTTGGAATAATCCCTAAGCTTTTGACTCTGTTATAAACATTATTATTCCCCTTCACTTTTGTCTTAACTTGAAAGTGGCATATTTCACACATATTTTACTTGAATTGTTGCTGTTGTCACTTTTTTTTTTTTTTTTTGCCTTGTATTTTAAGATGGAATAGCAGCATTTACCTTTGGGTATTGATTTCTCTTTTCTTTCTCTGTTTTGTTCTTTGATTTTGTTTGTTCTTTCTAAAAGAAAACTTCTGCTGAGTTTTTTCCAGAATGGTTACATTAGAAAAATTGGAGTGGTACATGTTAAGTTTCACTTACATGACAGTTTTAGTTTCTTACATTAGAAGAATTGTAGTGGTACATGTTAAGTTTCACATGTTAAGTTTTAGTTTCTATTTAGGCTTTCTATGAGATGGGATCACTGACATGAGAAGAGAGAAAGAGGTTCCAGTTGCCACTCACTAAAATTCATTCATATGGCATGTTAGTGGTAGTTTATATTCTTTAGTAGCATTTTTAGATCCCTAGTTAGCAAGTCTTTGCTTGTCAGAAATGACCACAGAAAATTCTTTGTCATTTTGTAGAAGCTATCCTTCTGAGTTTGTGTAGAGGGAATGATTTATGAAATACAGTTATAATGAACACTGGAAAGATTTATTGTAAGATTATTATATTCTTGTATACTTTGTAAATTAATCCCATAGTAGTTTTTTTTCTTTAGCATTGACAGAAATTTATTAATTTTAAGAGAATTAGGCATTGCTCAGAGAAGGAACACACAGATTGTGGTAATTACCATCTATCTATCTATCTATATATATTCCATTTCTGTCATGCTTGGAAAAACTAGTAAATGTGCTGTGTAAGGTAAAGTGGAATGGTTCCTGGATATTTTTTTTTTTCTTCTGTCAGTCGTGGGGCCTGAACTCTGGGCCTGGGCACTGTCCCTCAACTCTTCAGCTCAAGGTTAGCACTCTACCACTTGAGCCACAGTGCCACTTCTGGCATTTTCTGCTTATATGGTGCTGGGGAATCGAACCCAGGGCTTCATGCATACAAGGCAAGCACTCTACCACTGAGCCTGGATTTTCTTATAAGAAGCAGTATATGCAATAAAGTTGTTAGCATTAACAGTTATGAGGCAGTAAAGAGGTTTTAGGTACTTCCATATTTTTAAGTTAATAACTTAAACCTTCCCAAATGGGTTAAAGTTGAATGACTTGACACTTCTGTAAAGCTGAGATTTTAGCTTAGGATTGTGTTCTCTGAGCTTTCACTTTACATTAATACTGTCCTTTCCAAACTCACACTGACCTTTCTGTTATGTGTATTTGAAGGTAGAGTGGAGAGTCAGCTGAAATTGTTTTTTACTCTCTTAGTCTCCTGTGAGGTTAGTTTTTATTCTGGAATTTAGAGGGGCAGCAGGAATCATGAGTCACAGGAAAAATTGTTTTTGCCCCTCTGGCTGTTTTAGAATGAATAAAGAAAGCTGTCATTCCTATTGTTATTGATGGAAAATTATTTCTTAATTGGAGTGAAATTTTTTTAGAATAGTGACGACATTGACGTTTGTTTAAAAAAAAATCTGATGGAGAACTATACTTCACTTTTTTATTTTTATTTTTATTTTTTTTTCTGCCTGGGCCATGAACTCTAGGCCTGGGAGCTGTCCTTCACCTCTTCAGCCCAAGGCTAGCGCTCTACCACTTGAGTCACAGCACCACTTTCAGCTTTTTTTTTTTTCTGCTTATGTGGTGCTGAGGAATCGAACCCAGGGCCTCATGCATACAAGGCAAGCACTCTACCACGGAGCCACCTTCTTAGCCCCTTTATACTCTTTTAATTGTATACATTTATGCAAAATCAACTTAATATAGGAACCTTTGCTCCAGAGATGCCAGATGCTTAGTGGTAAGGTATAAACTGTTCTCCATATTACTTTTTTCTTTACTCTCCCTTGTTGTTACTGTTTTTCTTCTTAATCTCAAGCATTTCAGTCTGCTCTTATAAAACCTTTAATTCAGATTAATTCAATAGCAACATAGATCTGTGGTTGTAAAGCCTGAGAACCTGTTAAGTAGGAATCCTGTGAAAGAGCTGATAGGACCAATGAACTGCACTGTGTATATAAGAGGAAGATAAAGAGATGATAAACAAAGGCTGAGGATGTTTCTCAGATACTTTTCTTCATCTCTGTGATACACCATTTTATGTTCCTGTCCTAACAATTGTGCTACTAGGAAGAAGACACAAGTTACGGTGTTGTGTATTGAAAATAGGTAGGAGTAGTTTTTTCAAATAGTAGTATGTACACTTAATAACAATTTAAAGTTGGCCATTAGAAAGCCATTAAAATAGTCTGTTAAAAGTGTACGATCATTGTTTCTAACAATGGTGGGTGTTTCTCATTTTGTTTGTGATTATAGAGGAAGATTATTGTTTTTAAAAATGCATACTGTAGCCAGGCACCAGTGGCTCAAGCCTGTAATCCTAGCCACTGAGGATGGCAGTTCAAAGCCAGCTAGGAAAGTCTATAAGACTCCTATCTCCAGTTAATCAGCGAAAAGAACAGAATCCAAAAGTGGAATTGTGACTTAACTGGTAGAGCACTAGCATTGAGGAAAAATCTCAAGCCAGGCGGTAGACCTCCTGTTCAAGCCCCAGAACCAGCATCAAAAAAAAAAAAAACCAGTGGCTCACTCCTGTGATCCTAGCTACTCAGGAGGCTGAGATCTGAGGATCATGGTTCGAAGCCAGCCTTTTGCAGAAAAGTCTGTGAGGGCAAATAGTGATCTGAACAGAAAAAGCTTCATGTTGCATCAAGAATCATGTTATTGTATGCAGTATGAAGATTTGGATTTGTTTTATTTGAAATCTAAAAATACCTAAAATTACGTTGTTACTTCATTTAAGTCCTTTTTTAAAATACTAGTTACATATTATTAGTAGAGTTATTTTTCTTTGTTACTAAAGAAAAATTCCTTCTTAGGTTTCTAGAAGTTGAAGATGAGGTTGGGGAAATAGGGAAAGAATATAATAAATAAAATGAAAGTTAAGAACATAAAACTACAGCTTGCCAATGTTGAAAATCACTTTGAAAATGCATTTTATAAGAGGTTAAGTGCTACCAGGAGTCTACATAATTGATCTTATATTATCTCCTGATAATATAATTTACTTATAAAATTACCACTTAGGGGTTCTCTGGAAGTAGTTTGATCTGTGCTTTTAATTTTCACAGTCTTTTCACCTCTGTGTGCCATTGTAGAAGAGTTATCACAGTTTTCTATGTAGAAAGAGGGTAAAAGAAGGAATCCATTTTAGAATGTTGAGATCTAGAAAAGGCTATAGACTAGTGACCAATAGGATACTGACAATAATACCTAAAGATACAGAGACCAAGTATCTTTTAAGTACTCTTTCCTAAATTACAAAGTGCACTACTGGATTTTAATACTGGGATTCTTTGACTTACTTGTACTTGATATGATCATAGGCTTGACCATAGTATGTTGTTTTTTTTCTTACTATTTTCCCAACTCAGATTACTGTTACACCTTTAACAGAGTAATATATGTGGTGTTGTGGATCAAAATTTATATTACACAAGTCTTGGATTTTGGCCTTTCTCTTAAGAAAACAAATTACAGTTTTGAGCAACAGTTTCATAATTGTGATTATTTTTTAGTACTGTCATACACAATGAGGAAGCTTAGAATTTAAGAATATAGACAATTTTGCCTGGGTATGTGGCTCAGCAATAAATCACCTGCCTAGCAAGTTTGAAGCCCTGAGTTCAAACACCAGTACAGCCATCTTCCCCCACAAAAAATGGCTTCCCAATTTCAAGCAGAAATGCTCCTTTTCTAAATAAATATCCCTTTGGCCTTTAGCATTGCTTTGCTATCTTCTCTTTTATGAAAAATTGTGTGCTTTTGAGTGTTAGGCTTTCTGTTGCATCATTTTCTTTTTGGAAAACATGGAAGGTTAGTGTTAAATGGCATAGCTAGTAAAACTTACTTTGAAAACATGCTGGCAGTTGGGCACCAGTGCTCACGCCTGTAATCCTAGCTACTCAGGAGGCTGGGATCTGAGGATCACAGTTCAAAACCGGCCCAGGCAGGAAAGTCTGTCAAACTCTTATCTCCAATTAACCACCAGAAAAACTGGAAGTGGCACTGTGGCTCAAGTGGTAGAACCCTAGCTTTGAGCTGAAGAGCTGAGGGACATTGCCCAGGCCCAGGGTTCAAGTCCCACAACTGACCAAAATCTTGGCCCCTTTAGAAGTCTTGGGCATATATCTAAATGTGTCAGATTAAAGCTACAGATCAGGATGAGCTTCTTGCCTGTTTGAATGGCCTTTATTTGTAGTATACCAGTTCTCATTTGATTTTGACATTTCTTGCAGACTATATCATCTTACCTGGTACTCAAGAAGGTAATACAATTTCCTTACACTGGAAAGTCCATTGAGCAGTGACAGAAATGTTAGCAACAGTGAAGATAATGATAATCTGATAATCTGATAATCTGATAAAACATCAGTTGTATTTAGTAAACTCTTGGACAAACTAAGGGAACCATTATGTGTAATACTTCTTACAAATGTGAAATCTCATTTTGTATGGAAACTTACTATGTAAGAAAGATTTAGGAAAAGTAATAAAAAATAGAGATACTGTCAAAAGTGCCCCTGGTACCCCTACTCAAGTGGTAACAATAGTTACCATTTTAGCCTATGCTTCTCAGTTACTTCTATCTCTTCTCATGCATATATATTTATATATGGAAATACATAGTCATATGGAGTTTAAGTACATAAATTGTGTCTTACTATGCATGTGTTTTACAGCTTGCTTTTCCTCTTACCCCTCATGTTAGGAATGCTTCAGTAAATACCTACTTTTTAATTTTATTTTCTACCCACCTCTTTGGATATGTTTTCTCTTAATTTTTTTAAATAATTTCTGGCTCCATGTAACTATCCTAAAAGGAATCTGGCCAATTACATAGATCTCATTAGTCTCAAGGATTAAATGCTGGCCAGAGCTTAGGCCGAATCAAGCTTGTGAGTTAGGAACTTAATGCAGGAGGCAGAAAGTAATCAGCTTACAGTTGATAAGAGATTCTTTACCTCGGGCCTATAGCTTATGGATTACTAGATAAACTAGAGTTAACTGTAGCAAGTTCTTTACTCAGTGTGGTTTTGAGGGGAAAGGGGGAAAGCATAGTTAATATGGGGAGAGTACTGGGTGGAGTAAAACAGCATTGTGCAATTAAACTTAGAACTGAGTGCTAGCAAAAATGCAAACTTTTGTTTAATCTGTGTCTTTAATAAAAGACAAAAGTCCCTTTTAGGTTTTCCTTTCACCACTATCCCACTTCCCTCTTTAGAGGTAAATTAACAATTTGGTCTACAGCTGTATCTTAAGCATGAATTTTAAAATTTAGATTTGAGGGACTGGGAAGGTGGCTCAGTGGTAGAGCTCTTGCCTTGCATGCATGAGGCCCTGGGTTCGATTCCTCAGCACCACATAAACAAAAAGAAAAAATCTGGAAGTGGAGCTGTGGCTCAAGTGGTAGAGCGCTAGCCTTGAGCTGAAGAGCTGAGGGACAGCGCCCAGGCCCAGAGTTCAGGCCCCATGACCGGACCCAAAAAAAAAAAAATTTAGATTTGACCTTTATGGATTTTCAGTTTCCTGAGTGTAAGTTCTACATTTGGTCAAATTACATCCTCCACTTACAAGCTTAACAAGAACAAACTAGAATCACACAGTGTAAAAGAAAGGTAAATTGGTGACAGTGTTTTATTTATCACAAACCTTCAATAGTAACTAGCATTCCCAAACACTTGGTTGGGAAAGAAGAAAATGAAGGTACAAGCACCTTAATACCAGGGTTAGGCTTGTTTTTCCTAGCTATTCAGGAGGCAGAGATCTGAAGATCACAGTTAAAATCCAGCTCAGGAGGGAAGTGTGTGAGGCTCTTATCTTCAATTAAACACCAAAAAAGCTGGAAGTGGTGCTGTGGCTCAAGCAGTAGAGCACTGGAGTTGAGCAAAAAAGCTCAGGGGCAGTGTCCAGGCTCTTGAAGTTAAGCCCCAGGTGGAGTATGCGCGTGCGCTCGAACACACACACACACACACACAGAGTACCTTGTTCAATCTCTGTGTATAATTTCTGTAGTTCTCTTGCTAATCATTTCTAGTTCTATTGATTATAATCTAATAAGGTACAATAAATTATTTTACATTTTTAGCTGTCTTTTAATTTAAGATGAACTATAACTTAAAACTTTTTGGAGACGATTCCATGGGATACCGAAAATAATTTTTTTGTATGTATTAGAATGGAGTAATTCTGTAGATCTTTATACTCTGGAGTTTCTTTAATTTTGGGGGGGAGGGTGTGGTATGTGTTGATAAGTTTTGGAATTGGAGTCACTTACTTTGGTACCCAGACCTATCTGTACTGGGTTTTTTTCTGAGATCTTAGTGCTTGCTAAGTGCTTGCTTGCATTCTACTATTTGAGCTACATTTCCGGCTTTTTTTTTCTTTAATTATTTTTCATATAGGGTCTCATTTTTAAAAAAGGGATTTATTCAAGTAATTCTACAAAAGTATAGAGCATCTTGATCAATGTCACTCCTTACATCATTCTCTCCCATCTCCCCAACCCCACCATCCCCTCAAGTTACCTTGTGGGTCTCAAGTTGTTGCCTGAGGTAGGCCTCACACTGCATTCTTAGTCATCTCTACCTATACCTCCAGCCTTGCTAGGATTGTAAGTGTATGCTACCACATCCAGCTTAGTTAAATAGGCATTAATTTCTTCCTTGTTAGTGGTTTGTTGTTTATACTGTTTCCTAAAGCTTCATTTGTTTATTTAGCTAGTCAGACATTTTATACTGTATTTCCAGTTTTTCAGTGCTAATTCAGTGCTCATGATTTTTTTTTTTTTTTTTCAGTCGTAGGCCTGGGCACTGTCCCTGCGCTCTTCAGCTCAAGGCAAGCACTCTACCACTTGAGCGACAGTGCCACTTCCAGTTTTCTAGTGGTTTATTGGAGATAAGAGTTTCACAAACTTTTCCTGCCTGGGCTGGCTTTGAACCGCGATTCTCAGTTCTCAGACTCCTGAGTAGGTAGGATTACAGGCTTGAGCCACCGGTGCCCAGCATGAATTTCTTTAGTTTATACTTACCATAGAAGGTCTTTATTTCTCTAAATTTAAAGGAAACATTACAAGACATAAAATTTTTGAGTCAGCAGTTTCTTTCTTTCAGAATTGGGAATACTTTAACTTGCATTCTGACATTTAGGGTTTCTGCTTAGAGGTCCACTGTTGTTCTGAAAGGATTGCCTCTAAATAACTTGATATCTCAATCTTGCAACTTTTAGTATTCTTCATTCTTTATTCTCTGTATTTTAATATAATATGACATGGAGAAGTTCTCTGCTCCTCTGGGATTTTAGGAGTGTCATGTCCATTTCTTTCCCTAGATTTGAGATCTTTATTGCTATGATTTATTTATTTTATTTTTTATTTTTTTTGGGGGGGTCTGGTCATGGGGCCTGAACTCTGGGCCTGGGTGCTGTCCCTCAGCTCTTCAGCTCAAGGCTAGCACTCTACCACTTGAGCCACAGCACCACTTCAGGCTTTTTTCTTTTTGCTTATGTGGTGCTGAGGAATCAAACCCAGGCCCTCAGGCATGCAAGGCAAGCACTCCACCACTGAACCACCTTCCCAACCCCTCTGCTATGATTTATTGAATAAATTTTCCATGACTTCAGTATGTATTCATTTCCTCTTCTGTATTGTGAATTCATTAATTTGGTCTTATAATTATGTCCAAGAGATCTTGATTCTGCAGTTATAATTGCCTTTTCTTTTTTCTTTATGTCTATTCTCTGATACTCTTTCTTCTCTCCGGTCTAATCTATTTGTGTTGCTTTCTGTAGAGTTAAAAAATTTTAACTTATTGAGCTTTTTCAAAATTTCTGTTTGGTCATATGCCCTTTAGAATCTAACTCTTATGAATTTCTCATCCAAAATGTTTAATTTTCTTTTCCATTTCTTGAACTGAGTTCTTTAATACATCTGTGTTTATTCAATCCTCTTTATAGTCATTGATCATTTTTAAGACTAGACTTTTGAATTCTTTGGCATCTCAACCCTTTCAATATCTTTGGGTTCAGTTACTGAAGGGTTATGAACTTTTAGGGTTGTGTTGCCTTTTTCCTATTTGTTGTGTATGTTGTACTGTGCATGTTTGTTAAGAGGTATCTCTTCTGTTTTTATATGGGGATTTTCTTAGAGTCTTCTTGAGAGTTTAATCCCTAGTACTCTTCAAAGAGAAAACAACTTGCCATAACAGCAATGACACCAAAGAAACCAGCTATTAAGATACAATAAAAATCAGATTTAAAGACAACTACAATTACTATCTGCAACCATAGAAAGTGGCAAAAATAATGTAATACATGAAGTTAAAAGTTAATAAAGGAGCAGGTGTCAGTGGTTCATGCCTTTACCCTAGCTACTCATGAGGCTGAGATATGAGGATCACAGTTCAAAGCCAGCCACGCAGGAAAGGCCATGAAACTCATCTCCAATAAACCACCAGAAAAGAAGTGGCAATATGGCTCAACTGGTAGAGCGCTAGCCTTGAGCTGAAGAGCTAAGGGACAGCACTCAGGCCCTGAGTTCAAGCTCCACAACCACCAAAAAAAGAAAAGGTAAAAGTAATAATAAAAGTGAAATGAAGGGGGCAGGGAAAGGGAAAAGAAAAGTTTAACTGAAATATGAGGAGAAAGTCTGACTAAGAATAATGCAGCCGGGCATGGTGGCGTGCATCTGTAATCCCAGCTACTCGGAAGGCTGAGCCCAGAGGATCGCTTGAGTCCAGGAGTTCTGGGCTGCAGTGTGCTATGCCGATCGAGTGTCCTCACTAAGTTCGGCCCAGGAGCCGGGGAACACCAGGTCGCCTAAGAAGGGGTGAAGCGGCCCAGGTTGGAAACGGAGCAGGTCAAAACGCCCATGCTGATCAGTAGAAAAATGCATATATTTGAAAATGTAAGAACGAAAAAGATAGCATTAAAGTTAAAAAAAAAAAAAGTATTTAAAATAATAAAAATAGTCTGGAAAAAAATAATTGGCAAAACTTCTCCCTAGATTTTCTAATCATGGACTCTGCCAAGTCCAGGGTGGAAGTGCTGGGTGATGTCTGAAGTCTACTGTAGATCCTCTCTTTGCACTCTACCTACCGTTCATGCCACATATTGCCAGAGGACCCGGCAGACCGAAGAGTTCAGGCTGCACTCAGTTTAAATCTTGCTTTCTTTGCATATAGGAACCCCTGTTGGTGTCAATTAACTTGGCAGTCTGTGGGCCACGCAGATTCTTACTCCAGAGACCCTTAGTATGTGTACAGATGGGCAGCAAATGGCCAAGGCACGGGGTGTCCCCTGAGTTGGAGAGTGGGTAAAAGAAAACGGTTTACCTCTGCACTGGAGGATAAGTCCTCTGAGAACCTGGCTCTCTGTTTGATCTCAGCAGTTGCATACCCACCATAGCTGACCTGTGTATGATTGAGTAACTATTGATTCCCAATGCTCTTCCTCTCTCCTTGGAATATGGCTTCAATTATTACCCCTTCTCATTCCCAGAGGAAACTTCTAGCCTGCCATCTTACCCTGGAAGTCCGACACTTTTTCATGGATAATATTTGTGATTTAGTCTATTGAAAGTTAAGGATCCAGGCTGGGAAGGTGGCTAAGTGATAGAGTGCTTGCCTAGCATACATGAAGCCCTAGGTTCAATTTCAGTACCACATACACAGAAAAAGCTGGAAGCGGCACTGGGGTTCGGGTGGTAGAGTACTAGTCTTGAGTAAAAGAAGCTCAGTGCCCAACCTCTGAGTTCAAGCCCCAGGACTTGCAAAAAAAAAATTTAAAAAGCTATACTGTTCTGTTATACTATACAGGATTTATAAATGGTACTAAAAAAAATAGCTCTCCCCACAAATTACCCCCTAAACCAAGTACTACTACTTCTTTTTTTAAAGAAAATAACAAAAGAAAACAAACTCTTGGACTTAATGAAAATGGAGAAGTTTGGGAATGTCACTACCCTAGTTCTGACATAAATCTGCTTAGATCACTGGGGAAGGTTGAGGGTCACTTCAGATTTAACTAATATCTTTCTGTACGCAGTAAATTAGGAGCTTTTTTAATCCATATTTTTTCTAGTGCTGTTCTTGGATTTCCTAACCATCTCTGCATTAAAAATACCTCAACGTGAGTTCAGCACTGGTAGCTCAAGTCTATAATCCTAGCTACTCAGGAGGCTGAGATGAGAGGGTTGTGGTTTGAAGCCAGCCTAGGCAAGAATGTTTGACTCATCTCCAATTAATCACAAAAATGAAAGTAGAGCTATATAGCACAAGTGGCAGAGCACTAGCCTTGATCAAAAAAGCTGGACAGCACCCAGAGCTAGCAAAGGAAAATCTTAAGGTGATGCTTGATGTTTCTATACTATTTCATAGACTTTGAAAGAAGAGTAACATTGACTTGAGGATGAAGTAGGCATTAAAAGGAACACACCCACACCCACCCTGTGTGTGCACTCAAAGATTTGTTGAACATTCAATTTGATCTATTTTTCTCTCCTATATGTGTCTGGGAACTTCTTTAAAACTGGAACATTGTCCTATCTCCTGGCTAGCATCTGTCCTGCCATTTCCATCCTGCAGATACTAAGGTGATAGATGAAATGTCCATCCAGTGAGATCTCATATTTAACATTTTAAAATTAAATAATACCAATACCACCATCAAGCGAGGAATGAGTTTAATCAACAGACATGATTAAACAAAAAATATCTTCTCCATCTATTACTTTTATAGTCAGATGTTCTGGAGCTAGCTTAAGGGAATTATTGGACCAAATCAAAAGGCATATTCTAAGAGGTAAGGTAATAGGGTATCAGGAAGAAGTAAGATAAGTAGTTTTGATAATAGATGCAGGGTACTAGGAAGCAGTAAAATAAGTACATAGAGGAACTGATTCCTTGTTTTGACAGGATCACTGTGGTGTCAAACACGTTGAGCCTAAGCAACCACCCAACCTGCGATTTTCCACTGGCATCAAATATTCTCTATGTATACTAATCATAGTTCCACAGGGCCCTAGGGACCCACACTTACCCACTGTGTGTGTCAGTGAATGATGCTGAGTACATGAGGAGTCACGTGTTACCAATATTTTTTGTAGACTTGAAGGCCTTGAAGAGTGATTTTTAAAATTCTGTGCAACTGAGGCTGGGAAGGTGGCTCAGTGGTAGAACGCTTGCCTTGCATGCATGAGGCCCTGTGTTCGATTCCTCAGCACCACATAAACAAAAAGAAAAAAGCTGGAAGTGGCCCTGTGGCTCAAGTGGTAGAGCACTAGCCTTGAGCTGAAGAGCTGAGGGACAGTGCCCAGGAACAGAGTTCAGGCCCCACGACTGGACCACCCCTCCCCCCCCAAAAAAAAACTGTGCAACTCCAGAGCTTAATAGAATTTTGTAAATGAGAAACATCTACATTGCCAAAATAAACAATTATTTATTATTCCATTATTTATAGAATTTCTTCGAACATGCTCTAATGCTGAAATAAATTTGAAATGCTAGTTTAGACCAAAGATATATGGAAAGAAGTACACAGACAGGTGATGTATTTCTCAACCCTGAGTGCACATCAAGCTCATTCTATACTGATACTTAGACCCCACTCCCAGCAATATTGATCATGCCTAGAAACTGAACATATTTATATTTTTTAAAACTCATCAGATGATCTTTTTTTTTTTTTTTTTTTTTGTCAGTCGTGGGGCTTGAACTCTGGGCTTGGGCTCTGCCCCTGCGCTGTTCAGCTCAAGGCGCCACAGCGCCACTTCTGATTTTCTATTGGTTTATTGGAGATAAGAGTCTCACAGACTCTTTCCCGGGCTGGCTTTGAACTGTGATACTCAGATCTTAGCCTCTTGAGTAGCTAGGATTACAGGCGTGAGCCAAGGATGCCCGGCTTCATCAGATGATCTTAACGTGCAGCCAGGCTTGGGAAATATCCAAGTAACCAACACGTGAGAAATGGAGCAGGTTTCAAGAAATGACAAAAGTGAATCTGGTAAGAGAAGCAAAATGTCTTCAGTAATTGCTTACGGTCTTCATTAGTAATACTGGTTTTTGTAGGCATGATTAGTAATTGGATCCAGACACTTAAGGGGACATGAGAGTAAGACCACCTGCTTAATGGTTAGTCTATGGGACATTATTAACAACTAAAAACATTAAAAGAATTCTTTTCTTAAAGCTTTCTAAAAAGGTTAATAATTATTACCCAGTTCTTTCAACCTTTAAATTACTTTTTGAAAATGAAGTAGAAATAAGGCACGAATTCTATTAGAAGATTGTGCTACTAGTGTAGATTAATTCTACTTATTAAATGCTTCCCTGGTGTCCATTTTTCACCACAAAAAAGGCTAACTTAATCCTTGTTCTGAGCTTGCGTATTGAGCAATTCTGGACAATTGTGTGTAGAGTGATAAGCCTTTTAACAGGCGTAGTCCAATATAGAATAAAAATTCATTCTTGGAAAGCAATTTCAAATTCATAAAGTGAATCTTAGTATCTTGAAAAGACAGCATATAAATTTGTGGTGTCACAGAATTATTATTCCTAAGGGAAATTTCCAATATTCTCTGAGTCAATAAAGATGCAGGATAAACATTGGTGCTGACATGACCTGAGGCATGCTAACAAATCTAGTTCTATTTGACCTGTTTGAAGATATGTATGGTTAATCAAGAGCTACATAGTTTTAGTCACAGATATTTTATTCTTTATGAAGAATAAATTTAATTACAAAAATTCTCCATGTAAAGTAAGACATGCTATAATTAAAATTTGTTTTTGTTTTTGTTTTTGTTTTTTTGGGGGGGGTCTGGTCGTGGGGCCTGAACTCTGGACCTGGGCGCTGTCCCTCAGCTCTTCAGCTCAAGCCTAGCGCTCTACCACTTGAGCCACAGCACCACTTCTAGCTTTTTTCTTTTTGTTTATGTGGTGCTGAGGAATCAAACCCAGGGCCTCATGCATGCAAGGCAAGCACTCTACCACTGAGCCACCTTTCCAGCCCAATTCAGAGTTTTTGTAAAGAATATTTTCATAGGATGGGTTGGAATTATTTTTTCCTTCAAATTATCTGGTTCTTGTGAGTAAATAGTTTACCACAAAAATTGCTTTGTAAATTTTCAAAACAAAATCATTAAATGAAAGTTAACTTTAATAGAAATGTTCATTGCTTTATTTCTTCCACAAGTTCCTGTACTTTTTTTGTCATGATTTATATTCTCCAATATGCTTTATCTCATGCTTGACTGAATACAAATGTGAAAGGGGATTAAATGTGTTCACCATTGCAATTTGGCATTAATTGTAATGCTCTGTAATTCACATTACAATATGTCATTTCCAGTCAAATCGTGAGACTCTGTAATTGTATTTTAGAGTCCTATTGCCATTGCTTACAGCTACTTCATTTGTGTTTTAATATACCATGACGAATTTGTGAATGGAAATACAATCTCATAACAATCCAAGAAACAAATATTGACCTTTCCCTCTAGTAAAATGGCAAGAAAATTATTTCTTAACAAATGAAGAGAAAGTGATGATAAGACAGTGCAAAGAATTCATTTAAGAATGAAAAATACACAAACACTACAATTTTCTAGCAATCCATAAAAAGAACTGAACCTACATTGTGATGTATGAGTGGGTGCTCGTGTTTGCCTGAGTGCACACTGGTCCTGGGGCTTGAACTCAGGGTCTAGGCCCTGTCTCTAAGCTTTTTGCACTCACAGCATTCTACCCCTTGAACCACAGCTCTGCTTCCAGCTTTTTGGTGTTTAATTGGAGATAAGAATCACACAAACTTTGCAGCCTGGCCTTGCTTTGAACTGTGATCCTCAGCTCTCAGCCTCTTGAGTAGCTAAGATTACAGGTGTAAGCACTGGCCTGGCAAACTATAGATTAAAAAAAACATTTAATTTTAGTGTAAAGATTATGTACAGAGGGGTTACAGTTACATAAGGTAATGATTACATTTTTTGTCGAACATTGTTATCCCCTCCCTTGTTTTTCTCCCGTTTTCCACCCCAAGTTGTAAAGTTCATTTCCAACATAGTGTCTTGTGAGTATCGCTGTTACATTGGTTCACCCTTTATCCTTTGTCTCATCATTTTGTTATTTCCCTTCCCTTCTCCAAATCAGATGGATGTATATACAAGACACAGAGTACCAAAATCAGAAACAGTGACAACAAAAAACATTTTAAACAAAACATTACAAGATATTGTCTAAATTGACATTATTTTTGTAATCTACCAATACTCATACATGTTTCCCATATAGCATTCTGCAGTTTACGTATCTAATTCCTATCATAGTAGCCATTCAAGCTGTTTTTAAAGTTTATGCTATGACAAATAATGCTGCCATGAACATTGTTGTGTAAGATTCTTCATAGAGGCAGAGAATTCATTAGGAAGCATACTGAGAACTGGGATTTCTAGGTTGTGGAATATGCACATCTTCCATTTTATATTGCCAATTTCCTCCTCAAAATGTTTAAACCTACTGACATTCCCAGTAGAAGTATAATTCATTTCTCCATCTCCTTGTGTCAGATAGTTTGCCTATTTGGTAGATGAAAAATGTATCATTTAGGGTTTAATTTTTCTTTGCCTAGTTAGTGTTTGAACATATTTCCATGCATTTACTGGCTATTTGGGCCTGCTGTTTTGTGAATTGATTATTTACATAATTTTCCAATCTTTCTTGTTGAGTTGTTTGTTCTTTTGCTCATGAGAGTCTCTTATGAGTTCTGCATTCTAGAACTCTGTTGGTTATTGTACCTCAGATATATTCATTGATTCAAATAACTTACTGTACTATCTTCTAGGCACCGATTTAGGTATTGGGGACACAGAATTTAGCACAAAACAGACAAAATCCCTGCTTGTATACATGTTTTTTTTTTTTTCAGTCTAATTGGAGTGGAAGACTAGGCAAATAAAATATGTGAGATAAATAATGGGAAGAAAAACCTAGGTTAAAGGCACACAAGTACTGTGAGAATTGGAAAGTGGTTATTTGATTTGGCAATTAATGTTATTTTTAAAATAAATTCAACAAGAATGATGTAAAAGTTACAGGTTGGACGAGTGAATGCATGGTAAATTCAAGGTTTAATATCAGACAAATAGGTTTTCTCAATTCCCAATGTTCAGATTTTATTAATAAAAACAGATCTCCAGTGGTCATAACCTCGGTTTTCTGTCTGAAGTAGGCTGTAATCTTTGATTTGCTCTAAACCCAACCATTGCCTTGCTTCATATTCTATCACAGCGACTATTTGGTACAGCCATTTCAGAGATGTGACAGTCATACTGTGAATTCAGACAATCTAAAACATTAAGTCCTGACTGATCTGTCTCAATGTTTAAGACATAGTTAAGGGTGAGCTAGGAAATGGTAAGAAATGAAAACACTGTACCCTATTCTTCATATTCACCAAATGTACAGATGAACAGAGGAGCCTCCTGTTCTAAGTAAAACTAAAGATCTTTCAAAAGGATGTTAGTATCTCGTTCTCCTTATCCTCTCTTTCTTCCTCTTTCTCTTTCTCTCCCTTCCCCTCCCTTATTTTCTTCCTTTTGCTCTCTCTCTCCCTCTTCGTCTTTTCCTCCCTCTCCTCCCACTCTCATTTATTGTTATAAAGGGCCTTCCTGTGTAGTTCAAGTTGCTTTCAAATTAATGATCCTCTTGCTTTAGCTTCTCAGGAACGTTTCTGAGATAACAGGTGTGCCACCAAGTCTGGCCCCATCTCCTTGCCTTTAAAAAACTAGAGGTAAATAAACATGTTGTTATATTAGTGTTTATCTCAATGAGTAACTTTCATCAAGTTTTACCAAGCTTTATTATTGTGATAAAATACACTCAGATTCCAAGGAAATGATTACCAAAGTACAGGAAATGAAAGAATGTAATTTTTCAAATAGCATATTAGCTGAATGATAGCTTCCTTTTGGTATGAATGATATACAAAAACCTATATGGGACTAAGATTATCACCTTATTATTACATACCCCAAAACTCTGATTTCCTTATTTATTTATTTTTGGCCGGTCATTGGGCCTGAACTCTAGGCCTGGGCACTGTCCCTCAGTTCTTCAGCTCAAGGCTAGCATTCTACCACTTGAGCCACAACACCACTTCTGGCTTTTTTTCTGCTTATGTAATGCTGAGGAATCAAGTCGAGGGCCTCATGCATGCAAGGCAAGCACTCTATTACCGAGCCACCTTCCCAGCCCCTCTGTATTACTTTTTATGACTAGAATTATGAAACTATCCAGAACGTGTCTGCTTTAACTAGATACAACCAGTTAAACAAGAAACATGGCTGACGATTAATAGGTATGTTTTACATTAGTGTTATGCCAAGGTCGCAGGACCCCCACCAAGAAGACCACCGAGAGTCAAACTCTACAGCTGTTTTATTTAAACGGGCTGCAGCTCCGGCCTCGGCCTACACTCTGACACAGCGGAGCCCAGGAGGAGAGCCCCAAGCTAAGGATTTGCAGGTCTTATAAAGGCACAAAACCAGGTGGTTTAGCACCATGTGTTGCTCTGCTACAAACAAGCAACAAATGGTCACTGCCTCAAAACTTTAACCCTTCATCTTCCCCCTACACCACCCCCCTCCCATTGACTTATGGT